CTAATTTTCACAATCCATGTGACCCGAACCAAAGGTATTTTTTGGTTTGGCCTTACACATTTACTATATTTCTATGTTAATAATCAGGACAAGCAAAAATTTTGCAGGACAAGCCAAAATATCTTGTAGCTTGTCCGTCAGACAACCCAAATTTTTCCCTTATTTCGAACACTGGTTATGTGGCAAGCATAGGAAGTGCCCCATCGGATTGTATATGGTCTTTGCTTACAGTCATGACTTGAAATACCACGTATTTAAGAATGATCGTAAAGAAAGTGTATAGAAATGTAATCGAAAGACTATGATGTACACTTCAGTACATGTATATATGCGTTTGAATTACATGCAATAAAGATTTAATAATAATAATAATAATAATGATAATAATAATAATGTAATCTGGGAGTGACACCACCCTCTGTCTGAACACGAAGGTTAGCTTGATGCAAGGAGCTAAATATAACATTAAATATAAATATAACATGTTGTTATATTTAGCTCCTTGGCTTGATGTAAGGCTAAAGGCTTGGCATAACTACTGAGTGATTGTTCACCTCCCTAATATAACCTAACAGCTAGTTAGTTGAGAGTCACCAAGTGCTGAATGAGATCTAGATCAAGGTTTTACACAGCCATTATTTATGCAACTATAGGACAAACCTAGGACATTTCTTCACCAGAGTGTCACAGAAATTGCTGTATCGTGGTGATCGAATGCGTATTCGTAAATCTCAGCATGATGACATTAAAAATGACGAGTGAAATCACAGTGTCTCGTAATGCAAATGCGTTCATAGCAATGCAGATTCTCGCGATTCTCGTGATGTCGCCAAATAATGATTTTCCACGATCAATTTGCACTATCAACGTATATAAGTGTAAAATTTATTTTTATTATTATTTTTATTATTTCGTCTTTATTATTTTTATTTATTTTTATTTTCTAGTTAAAAGATGTCTGGAGTAGGTGTTCACTTTGCACCTGATTGTATACCAACACGCCATGGTATTGCCAAACTGTTTCAGCTTGTAAGTAGTCATATCTCTTAGTATCAAATTTCTGTTGTGAAGATTGTTCTGGAAGACTGGTTTACAGGCACTTGCTGTTAATTAAGGAACGTTGGTATGTTGGTAAGTGCACAAACGGCTGGGATACCATGAGAAGGTATTATTTTAAATGGCTACCTAGACGGTTGTACGGATTATAATATCATCACTCTCTGTTTACAGGGAACAACGCTGCTGGCTTTCATCTGTGTCCAAGTCGCCAACTATCCATATTTTGCTGCTGCCAAGTATTTCCTTTACCTCAGCGTGATGACATTGATAGTTACAGGTCTTCTTGGATTTCTCTACCTATTATTTATACCTGGAACATACAGATTGCCATGGGTATTTGCTGTAAGTTTATTTTCCAGTATATGTGCATAAATATATATATATAAATAATATATTATATATTCTTACGTATTTATATGAGAGAGAGACTGACGCTCGATGAGAGAGAGAGTGAGACAAATAGAAATTTCATAATAGCAAGTATTGTGGATTATCCCAAAAAATGTATATATATATTTATATATTACGGGTAGGACGATTCATCGATATATCGATTCGATATACCCACACATTTATTTATTTACATGCATATAATAGTAAACCATACTGTACCACAATCGTAATAAGTGCATACATGTGTTGTGTGTTTTGTACAGGAGATGGTCTACTGTGGAATAGTGACCGTTATGTTTCTTGTTGGCTCTGGGATCCTGGCTACGAATGCATCATATTCAGCAGCACTAGGAGCTGGTTCAGTGAGTATACATGCGTACGTGCTTACATAGAAAGAGAAAGAAAGCAAGAGAATTGGGGCAGAAAGGGAGGGTGAGAGTGAGGGTGAGCGAGTAGGGGAGAGGAGAAATGGAGGGTTGGACGTCACAGCTTGCAAGCATGCATGCATGCACGTACACACACACGCACATACACACACACAGCTGTTTCGTTAGAAGCCGGCATGCTGAATTCAGCTGCATATTTTGGCTTGTGCATTTGTGTATTTTATAGCGTGACCACGATGCGAAATTATTGAGACTGCAACTGCTTAACATGTCACCTATTGGGCCTATCTTTTCTCTCCTGGATAACATTTAATAAACCCATGTATATATTAGTAGTGCAACAATGCATCGAATTATCAATTATTTGCAATAGCATTTGGCTCAACAGCAACAGATTAATGGCAAAGTAAAACATTGATAACATACAATAAAGTTACATTATATTATTATCTGCAATTCTTAGGGAGAACCCTGGTTACGTACATATACACGCCAACCTCTGACTCTTCCAGTCATTGATTTTCAAAGTTTCCGCAAAACATTGTGTCCCTTGCAATCCATCTGGCCTGACCGAGTGTGACTGCGCGTCCTCACCTCTAGACTGACTGTGTGTGAGCGTGCGTTCATGACATCACCTCTGGTCGCTACATTGTATTATACACATCATATATTCTATTATATACATTCTTCTCATTGCAGTTCTTCGGGTTCAGCGCCATGTTAGCGTACGGCGTCGATGCCGTCATCAAGTTCATGTGCTGGAGAAGTGGCGAGACAACGCAGTGTGCGGCTGCAGGGCCGGGTCGGGGCGGAGCAGCCACAACCAGCTCCCCAAGCCATGCGTAGCTGCCAGTCACAGGTGCTGCCCCCTGTCAAGCCCGAGAAGTGCTATTAACGACGATCAAACTTTCACGTTCGTGCGAAGTAGGTGCTCTGCAGTGCAATCGGCAGCGTCGATAATGATTGCCGGTGTTTTATTTTAATGGATTCATTGCCGTGCATATTATTTCGTGTATTTAAGTGCAATTTAAGTAGATTTAAGTGGGTCGTCGTGTTAATAGTGCTGAATCTCTGCTGATGTAAGATTGAAAAACACACGCTGAGAGAGTTATATATATATGTATCTCATCTTAGATGAAGATGAGTTGCAGAACATAGTGATATTGCTGCTGCTTGTATTATGTAGTAATACCCCGCATTACGATAACTCGCATTGCATGAATTCTTCCACACGTAGTTTGTAAGTCGTGACCATTAAACTCAGGATGTGACAATCCCCGATACATTTGTACAGTATGATCGCTAAACTCAGGATACAATAATTTACCTATACGTAATTTGTAACTTACCACCACAACGCACGGGATACGAAATGCAAATTTGCATTTATCGAATCGAAAAGAGAGAAATTGCATTCTCGATCCCTGCTAGTAAAATTATTGTAATACACATGCAGCAAGCTACCAACAAGGCAAGAGGGTTATCTTTGATACGTGCCTCTATTGCCTTGGAGTGTTTCCCACCCTGATAGGAATCGCTAACACGTGCAGTCTTCATGGGATGTGTGTGTTCCTGGTGTCCAGAGAACGGGGTACTTCGTATAGTAACTTGTGTTCAAATTTGTTATTTTATGTTGCCAACTGGAATGCAGTACTTTCGTAACACGGGGTATTACTGTCTGTCTCATCTTTCTGTCTGTCTTATTTTTCAAACTTCTGAATGCTCGATTTTTAGCTCAGCTGACGAAGTCAGATGCAGCTTGTAGAATCGCATGGTTGTGCGTCTGTCCGTGCGTCCGTCAACAGTTGGGCACAAATCTTAACCGCTCGACGTACGGTCTTGATATTCGGGACGCCGGGGGGGATCGCGAACAGGACTCGGGATGTCGAATTTGGGGGTCAAAGGTTGAGATGTGTCAATGGAGGGGGAATATTTCTCCTTTAACTTAAGGTATAGGAGGAAATACGGAATTG